AGAACTTATTTCTTTTTCAGCTCTTCATCTTGATTATTTCTTTCTAATTTAACTTCAAAACACAATATAGGGCTCATGGTTTGGTTTGTAGAGAAAGACTAAGGAAATGCCTGTGGTCACGGTCTACTGTATACTCCATAGTGGCTTTATAAACATATGGAGCGCTAACATGTCAAGTAGCCACAGAAACGAGCTGCTCTGTGTCACTACTGTGCTATGGAAGTCAGTCCTATATACAGGCTGGTATATGCTGCTATTATCCCCGCACAAGTATATCTGGCTTCATACTTTTCTGTTTATGAAATGAAACAATAGAGCAAGGCGAGGGTTCAGCCACAGAAACCAGACAGAACATGCAACAATGTAAAGTCAGCAGAGTTCAAGGAGACAGTGGGTTTCACCATGTTTGGGAGGAAGGCTTTTTGCACAAAGGAAAACAAACTGCTAAAATGGGAAAAGAGAGTCACTACAATGTAACGCAAATTGTATAAACAATCTGAAAGTTGTGGGAAACATGTTGGCTGATTCATGACGTTTGAGTGAATACTTGTCTGTGTTTCTAAGTGTCAGCTCTGTGATTGGCTGATTGTTGTGGTGCATCAATAACTACAATCATGTATAAACAGATGATGGATGACTAAAGTACGCAGATACAAACACATCACTTGAAAATCACACATTAGGTTCCTATTCTCAAATTAAACACATTGTTCATATTAATATTCTTTCTTTGGTTATGTAGAGGTCTCTAAATGTGGATGTGTTGATGCTGACAGTTATCATTTATGATTTTTTAAAAACACACAGATTTCTTAAAACATTTAGGCATTGGTTCCCAAAGACTGGGTCTCAAGAGACTCTTTTGGGTTGCCTTGTCACAATCTGCATGTAGGTCTGCAATATACATATACATACATCTCCGTGCAGCCTCTTGATCCTGACTTTTTCTCCTCCCGCTCCTCACTTCTTCTCCATGCACCCTCCTCCTCCTCTTCATTCATTGTTTCAAACTTGAGAAATACTAATTGTTCAGAGAAACACGAAGTTCAATAATGTCACAAATTTATTTTGTGATTTACGAATAATGTCGATTGACTTGTGTTGTGAAGATTTTAGATTTTTAAAATATGGGTCCCCAGAAAAAAAGTTTGGGAAACACTGTATTAAGGTGCACTATTATTGTGCCTGTCTGCAAATTTGTCTTGCCTGCATTTGACCCATCCTTCATTGCTGTTGATGCTTCCTCTCAGGAGCAGTGGATACCTGACAACCCACCTCCAGATCTTGAGCTGTAGGTTTGGTCAGGACTAACTTCACCAGGGGATTTTACGCCGTGAGTGCCTTGAAGAGCGCTATATAAAAAATGTGACCATTTTGGTTTGATGGGTTAAACCAGATTGTGTGGAGGAAACCCCCCAAGACACAACATTCAAACTTCTCCTGGGAATCAAACCCTGAACCTTCTTGCTGTGAGGTCTGAGTGTTTGCCACAGCAGCCGCTTAATGAATATGGGAGTTCAACAAATCATTGAGGGTAGGATACATGTTTACTGCTGTCTATTGTTGATGAAAATGTTCCAAATGTGTTTATGTTCCACTCAGATTAACACAATTCAGTTTGTTGGATTAAGGAGGAAAATGTTAAGACAAAACATTTTGGCTGTGCACGTAAAAGTTCCATGTTGTTACGGATGTGAACTAGCCAAGAGATGATCACCTAAAGTTGTTGCTCATTTACTGAATCATGTACATGTTAATATGAGTCAGTTTGATTCATATTTCTCTTTCCCTGCTCCTTTGTGCCAGTCTAAACTGTGTGGAGGGTAATTAGGCCCAGGAGCGGAGCGCTGGTTTGGATGCCACTGCAGTAGGTCTTATTCCTTAAACAGGCAGGACTGGAGCAGTGGAGTCTGTGATGTGCCATCCAACTTTAAAATAGTGCTTTTTCTGAGCACTGCTTCTTCAAAGACTCTTCTCTCTTTCATTCTTTCCTTTTTCCCTTCTGTGCCAGGCTGCTCTGCTCAGCTCTGAAAACTCCAAATGCAAAAAGCAGTCAAAAAGACAACATGTGGTCAGTGCCATGGTTTGATTGGCTGATTAGAGATACCTGGCTTAAGTAGAGCATGTATCTATGCAACCAGTTTTATTTTAGCACAGTTCAACAGATAAATAACTAAACTGTGACAATCCAAATGTATTGTCACAGGTGGAGCAAACTGGGGGAAAAGTGGCTGCCAAAATGTGACTGCGGTGATCACGTCAGTTATGTGTATTGTTAAAGTTTTGATGCTAAAACAGTCTGTGGAACATGGGCCCTGGTGATCAATAGGCATTCTGTGTTTAAATTCACTGAGAGTCTTTCAATAAAAAAACAGGCTTTGTATTGTAATGACTTTTTTACTAATGGTTTTGCTTTTAAAAAGGCACACAACATCATTAACTGGGGCATTCTTATTCTAATCTCCCCCTAAGCTTTCCGAAACACTTTCCTCTTTGTATGCTCAGTGGAGGGGGAGCCACCTGACCGCTCTGCCCCGTCCAAAACCTCTCGTTTGGGGTGGTCCTGTAGCACAGCATCTCCAAAACCACGTCTCTGCTCTTTATGTGGTCCAGCTACAGTCCTGATGCCAGCTCTGTTCCCTTCTCTCCTTTCACAAAACCCTCCTAAGTTAAACTAGCTGCTTTTTGTTGACTTTTCTGGCGTCTGAGGAGCTTGTAAGAGGTTGTAGCCTATTTGAGACTCACAGGAAGAGGGTCTGTGCAACTGTAGCAGGTGCAAAGACAAGAGTCAATGACAGCTTTGTCCAGATTGAAGATGTATTATAGTCCAGCGTGTGCCCTTCTACCGTTTGGGAACATGGAGCAGAAGTCAAGTGATCAGTCGGGAAATTCACGACTGAGCAAATATATTCTTTGCATATCTTCTAGGTGCATAACTTTTCTGGTGGAAGGACATCTGCTTGTCTCCATGATATTGCTATTGCTGAAATGTCCCAGAGTCAAGTTACTCAAGTTACATGTCAGATCTGCAGATAAGTGACCCTGCTTGTTACAGGCCCAGGCCTTCATTTCTAAGTTTGTTTTGTGTGCCTTAATTTCTTTTGCTGGCTGTCCTGATTCCTGCTGTGGGAGCCCTGGTCTGTGATTGGTGGGGTTTGTCTATGCCCACCTCACCTGCGACCACCTCCCCCTATTTAAGGAGACTGCCAGCACCTGTTTGGGGCTGCTGGCCTTTGTGACCAGTCTGCCATTTTGTGTTAGTGTGTGTCTCTTTCGTGTCAGTCACTTGTTTGTACTAGTACGTGTCTGATGTTGTTTGTTGTGTTGATACACTTGTTTTGTTTTGTGCCTTTTTAAATTTGTCACTCGATTCTATTTGTGGGTTTATGTGGTTTTACTTTGGGGCACTTTTGTGTGTCCCTTAGTTTAATCATCTAATTTTTGTGTAAACCTACGTGACCTGTTTTTTGGCACAAAACTTGTTTGTTACTTCTGTTTTTTTGTTTCTTAGCTTAGGTTATTTTCTGTATATATTTTAGTCAGTTCGTTAATTTACATTTTACATTCCTGTTAATTAAACATTATTTAATTTAGTCCATTACCATTCTTGGTTCTTTGTTACTTCCCCTGTCCCTAGCAGAGCTGGGTCATAACACTGCTGTCATTAAGAAGGCATGTTTTTCAAGACTTAAAAGCCCCTGTAATTCAGTAAATACAAGTAATATACGTTTAACGTAATACTGTACAACATTTTAGGCAAAACAATAACTTCCCACGGATACAAGCAGATGACAGACACTCCCTCCAAAAAGTTGCACACTGCACCTTGAAGAATTCTCATCTAAAACAAGGACAGTTTAATTTGAAAATATTTGTCTTTCTAATCAGCTCATCAGGGATCATATTGTAATTTGTTTCACTGAGCTCCGCATGCCAGTCTCCATAGCTCTAGATCTTCTCCAATGGGAAGTCCAGTGTGTGTCATGATGTTTTATGGCTGTAGCTGGAATGGCTCCACATTTGATCCTGTGTAATATGTGTGATATACGCTGTGTGAGGAGCAGGTCTCCCTTGGGCCCTCAGTGATTTCATGGGGCTCTGGGGGTGACCTCTGGAACAAAGGGGGCGCTGTGTTTGCCTGAGATGGTCCCAGCTGCATCCACCTGTTCCACTGTCCTGTGCCAACACTGAACTTATGTAATAAATGTTCACATACAGTAATCACTCAGCATACACTTCTATACATGTAACTGCCATTCTTAGCAGTTTTGTGTTTTTGGAGTTGGAATTGTGCAACTATATGACAGATAATTTGTTCCATTAGATTTTAAATATTAAATACAGCTCATTTTCTCACTTTGAAATTTTTACCTCTGAAAAAAAATGTTTGAATTGTTTCTATTCTGAATTTTAATTGCTGGAATTTTAAGTGTACATTTTCCAAGATGTTTCAAATTCAAAATAAAAAATCGCCTTTTAAATATTCAGCACAAATATCGTCAAGACCTCGAATTCAACAGTCAAAATTCCGATTGTAAAATTGGCAGTGAAAAATATCGTGATATCGTATCATCAAAAGTCACAATAATATCTGTCACAATATACTGAATCACCAGTTTCTTTGCTTAAATACATGATTTTATAGTAGCAACAGCTTATAAACATCGGGAACTACATATCCCATGATTCATGTCAGTGTAGACAACATGAAGAAATATGTTTTTGACTTGAATTCTTGGGATTATGATGGAAATAATTCACACCAAAATCTTGTCAAGGTATTTTAAAAGCAAAAAGGTGTCTTCAAAATTCTTCAAAAAGGCTCTTCAAAATATCACAATAAATATCGTACAGTGAGATGCATGTCGTGATAATATCGTACCTAGAGATTTGGATATTGTTATATCCCTATAGTGAATCTTTAAAAACAAAATCACAACATTTCCAAGCCATTATCATGTTACAAAACAACTGTCAAAAAGCAAGAAGAAACTTCACACTTTTATGATTATTTACACATATTTATCAAACAATAGTTCAATCCCTCTTTCATTTTCATTCACACTGTAAAATAAATGACCATTTCTACAGTGTCAGACAAACTTTATGAAATCAAACTTTCTGAATGAAAAAGTAAGTTGGACATAAAGTCAGATAAAAGCACTCTTATTTAATTATATTTTTTTACGATCTATATGACCTCAATAATCACTCTAATGATGAACCAAATAATCTTGAAATTCTTATGTATTTAAACTTGTAACCAGTCCAGAGGTGATATTTGGTGGAGACTTTAATCATCGTCGTCGTCACGGCTGCTGTGACTGAGTAAAGAAGCAAACAGAGCTGCTCCCAGTGCGACTGCTGCTACTCCTGCTACTGCCACCCCTCCGGCCACAACGGCATTTTTTACCTAGAAGATACAAAAATATACACTTTACTTTAACTTGGAGGTGTAACAAAATCATCTGATAAATATGTCAATATAAACTATCATCTAGTGTCAAGGACTGGATGTAAAATTAGCTAACAAATCAGGATCTTTCATCACGTTTCTAATCAGCTAATTTTTGTCTTGAGATTTTGTCTAATCAGGTTTTATTCAGAAAGACATCTGCTTCTCCTCTGGACTGGATTATGTGAAACTGGCCCATTGTTTCTGCTCTGTTAACATGTGATCAACTCATCAGTGCAGAGAGGAGACAGGGCACTGGGAGTTTCATCAACACAAGTAAACTAAACTTATCATTCACGTGAGCATAGGTGGTCAAATACAACCAACTCTTTCACTTTATATTCAAATAGTCTTTCTATGGTCACGTTTTATATAGAGCTTTTCCAAAACGCTAACAACAAAAATACAAAAATAAATAACACCAAAAAATAACATTAAACAACTTCCACTTCCAAATTTTCTGAAATGCATGGGATTCTTATATTCTTGTATTTATCAGTTCATATTTCAGTCTTCTCCTTTTCAAACTGAGTCTTGTTTTTGAAACTAAAATCTCAATCAGAAAATTTGCAAATAGATTTTCTTCAAAAGTATATATATTTTTTTATTTTCAGTGTGTGCAATTAAAATACATGCTTCTAGCGTTCTACTTGTAGTTTTTGTCTATTGATCATGATTGTGGGCGCACTTGTTTTGTAGTTTGTTGCTGAACGACAGCCTCACCTGTCTGGACTCTGGTTTGCCATAGCGCAGGTTGGTGACAAAGTGTTCACAGTTGTATGTGGCCACATTATAGGGCAGCACCCGTCCAACTAGTTTCAGGGCGTCCCTCACGATGTTGTTTGGGTTCCGGCGTTCATATTTGTGGTCCAGCAGGTTGTTGACATAGAAACGGTCTGAACCCACTACGTCCCAGATCTTCTCACACTTCACCACTGCACTGCTGCTGTCAAAGTACTGTGCAAGACTAACCAGCCCCGACACATCACCATCCATGTTGGCTGAGGACAAAATGAGCATATGATGTTATATAATAATTATTATTTTATTATACTTTTGAAAAATAAAGTTTCTCCTTACAGCTCTGTATTTAACTACTCTGACTGTACCTAGTTTAGAAATGTAAAAAGTCATATCCTATGCCATATCAAAATACATATAATGCCACGAAAGCAGGAGTCTGGTTAACTAAGGGGGACCACATAAAGTATTAGTAGAGAAACTTTATTACCAAAGTTATCAGTATAAACAATGATTACAACTTTTAATCTTAATGTATGTGATCTAAGTAGCTGATCTAACATGCACTACCCCACTACTTCCCTATCAGAGATCAAATGTTATTTTTAAAATGATCACTTACTTGGTGGGATCAAATGGACCACTTCATTTTGTCCAACGTAGATGGCCCAGTGTTCATAAACCCCTCTGTGAATCTCAATCAAGTCTCCAGGCTTTGGAGGGTTGTCAAACTATAAAAGAAATATGCATTACAGTAACAGAATCAGTGCAATAATTATTACATTCTGATCGGTATACGGTTCAGAGTTTGAGTCAATAATTAATACTTTAAAGCCATTTCATATCAGTAAATTATAGTCTATAGAATAAGGGAAATTATTTGTAAAACAACATTTACAATTCACTGATATTATCTCATGGGATAATTGAATTGAATTGAACACAAAATAAATACTACATAAATCATTAACAAACAGTTAACAAATGTGTTGCAGACTCACCAGTGTCGGGGCCATGTCTTTTCCTGACAGTTCCTCGAGCAGCCTCCACTCTCTATCAGTGCAAATGAAACTTAAGGGTTATGTTTCAGCAGAAGTGTAATAACTGCTATAAAAAACTATAAAAACAAGCATGTGATAGGACATGTGGAAACAAATAACTGACGCTGCATCCATGAATCATTAACTTGCAAGCCGATAGCAGGTCACTATCAGAGGGAGAAGGCTAAGTTTCTGTTTCTGTGAAATGCATAGTCACTCTACTTATGGTGTAGGAAAAAATAAAAAATCAAGTAGTAGAAGTAAATGTATGTTAACGGTTTGGCTCTAAAAACATCTGGTAACATCTAAGAATTATAATGCTTCCTAATATCAACATTTCTGTTATCATCACTATCACCCTACATAAAGTGAGGTTTTGATGAGGATAACAGATTAAAAGTATGAAAGTGTTACAGTGTTGTTTGAACTTTAACACCAGAAATGTGTTGTGTGGTATATGAGATTTAAACCATTGCATATACTTCGCAAGAGTGACTATAGAATCCACTGTTGTACAGGAACAAGCCAACTGTCTCATTAATCATAAGAGGAAGTCCTCACTTAGACCACAAGTCCTAATCCAGCGCAGGATGTTTAGAGAATCCCTCACTCGGATCTATTCACTTTTATTATGAAATACATCTGGAATACACTATGCTCCCTGCCAAGAGCCTCCTTTTACACAGTCCCCTCTGTTTCATATGCTCTGGTGTTCCTCACTTCACTGACAGCAGACACAAGCCAGAGATATCTGACACCCCCATCCATCTCTGCTCTGATCCATCAGCTCTGTGCTTCACAATAAGAGCACCTGTTTCACTAACTAGATGCACTTTCATATGGCTTATGTAATGTTAAAATGCAAACTGATCACTCAAGGGACAGTTGAGAGTTGACAGGTTTTTGGTTGAGGCTATTTCTGTATTGGAAAATTACTAAGTGCAGAGACATATCCAGAAATAAAACAAGTACATTTTCAGCTTGCATGGTTTACACATTTGTTTAAGTCACAGATTTTATCCCAAAATCAGTATCTCATACATGTAAAGTTATTTCAACAGTGGCAGTTGAGTTGTTTACCTCTTGTCTGAAAGGTTTGTGGTTCCTCTCAGCTCTTACTGCCTTTGTGCCATTGGAAAAGGCACTTGACCTCTTTCTAGTTGCAGAACTGCTATTTCAATAATTAGCCTATTCCTTATTGTATTGCAATATTCTGCATTACAAAGAAGAAATTCAGTTTGTCAGCTGGACAAAAGTTTATTTGGTTGAATATGTTTTGCAGCTCATGCCAGTCTATTTCAAGCCTACAGACACTGTAAGACAGAAACTGCTCCACCCAAAGGACAAAACACTGAGCTACAACCAAAGCAATATACTCCATTCAGTGTAATGAAGACTGCAGTGAACGCTACATTGGAAAAACAAAACAGCCACTTCACAAGAGGATGTACCAACACAGATGAGAGAGCAACACAGGACCTCAGTCTGCTGTACATCTCCACCTAAAAGCCACGGGTCACTTCTTTGAGGACAGTGAGGTACAGATACGAGCCAAAGAAAAGAATTGGTTTGAGTGGGAAGTTAAAGAAGTTATTTTTGTTAAGAAAGAGAATCCTTTTTTAAACAGAAATGGAGGACTCTGACACCATCCCCAACTCCATCCTCAAACCTAAATAAAAACAAAGAGAGAACAATAGGTGTAGCAAGGTCAGATCCAAAGGTGTGAAAGCCCCATTATGGGCCTGAATGGTTGTGCTAATATGACCCCACACTCAGTGCAAGTTCAACAGGCCTACTAACAACTAACATAAACTGTAAACAAGTAGATGTGTTAGTTTCAGAGTAATTTCAGTGTAGTTAGCTCCTCCTTGCAGATAGAAGGAAGTGGTCACCAGTATTTTGACCAGAACTGAAGAAGCACCTGGGATGAGCTGAGAAACATATTCAAACAAATAAATTTGAATTTATGAATTTCTCCTTTGCCATGGATTCTACCTGGACGACTGAGGGATTTTTCACACATATTCTGCATTGCTTTTCTGATGAAGGGTCTGTCATCTGCTTGTCTACATGGAGATGTTATTGCTTTACTTGGAATGTTCCATGGTATGACATTAAACAAATCCATCTTGCATTTATTCATTACAGGTGTTTCTATGGCTCAAAAATGCAATAATTATCTCTTTGAGTAGGGTTGCCTCTCTGCAGATCTGACCTGTAATGTAGCCCATAGTGGTTGCCTTTGAGATAGATAGGTTTAATCTCTACTGTGGAACATTCCAGACAAAGCAATAACATCTCCCTGAAGACAAGCAGGTGAGAAACTCTCCACCAGAAAAGTTGCACAGTGCACTTTTAATGAACAATCAAAAATAGTCAAATATTTGTCATAATAACATGCAAATGTTTAGTATCATGCATGCCAGCGTTTTTATATGATCTAGTATAAGTTTGTCCCTCTTGTCAGCAGATCCCGACTTCACTTGAGACTGCATTGTTCTTCCTTGATTAAAGTAGCTCTTCTTTTAGGGCACAGAATCACTGAGTAAGCACCGTTACCCTTCTCTTTTACTGTAGAGCTCCTGCTATTTCGGCTGTGCTCAATACGACATTAAAAAGCTTGGAAAAGGAGAGTTGCATTAGCATTTCAAAGACACACATCGAACGCAGCATCTGTCTGTCTGTGAGGCCGCTGTGAGATCTAACTTATGCAGTCAATGGAGAAGGATTAGAGACAACCAGAATAAAGCCCAAATCAAATACGAAAAGTATAGATTGAAGTGCAAAAGGTCAAAGGTCAGACGGACATTGACAGAATTTTTAACAATCAAATGGTATAGAGTGGAACCAGTTATACCATGTGATAATGGATATTTAGTACAATGCAGCACACAGCCAATATCTAATATTTACATTTCTGATAATAATAATAATCTACCTTTGTGTACTTTTGAGATTGTGTGACCCTAAGTGACTTCTGCAGTTCCTTGGCAGCAACTGAAGTGATGGAAATGGGTCACTGGACAAACCCCAAGCCCATTTCCAGGTTGATTGATAACACTTTTTGTTTCTATTGTGATTTGGCCATTTTTTTCTACAAGGAAACTGGAACAACATTGAAACAAAATCTGAATTGTGTGAGTGTTTTTATAGCTAAATATATCTAGAAATAAAAAGTATTCTTACAGTAAATGAGGTTGTTTCTCCACACATCTGAGACTGAGATATTAATCTTAAATGAGCACTATGGAACTTTTTGATTGGGGGTTGTTTCTATGGATATGTCATTGCTAGGCCTTGAAAGTTCCACACTACGACATTAAATCGCTCTACCTTACTAGTCCAATGAGGTTCATTTGATCTTCTGATATTTTATGTTATTAGGTTCTTTTTTCAGACCAAGAGTTGTTTTCATACCTGACAGTTTTGACTGCTCACTAGTGCTCTTCCTCAGAGTGGTCACATGATGTTGCTGTGTCCGCTCAGCTGATTTAAACAGGTTTTGGCATCATCTTCCTACCGGTGGAGGCAGGACGACAGCGCCACCTGCAGTCCGACTTCCTCAGGACAGTATCTCAAGTGTGTGAGAGTAAAAAAAAAACCTCGTCCCAGTTTCTATTCCCGTGGGCACGTTTCCATATTTCTGTAGATGGCACAGTCTTCCTGCCTGTGACCTGTGTCAGCTGACCAGACACGTCACAGCAACATCACGTGACCACTCTGAGGAAGACCACTAGTGAGCAGTCAAAACTGTCAGGTATGAAAACAAACTCTTGGTCGCTCTATCTTAGATTACTTACATTTTTTGTACATTACAGACATTCTGACTGTGAGTGGGGTTGCCTCTCCACAGATCTGACCTGTAACTCTGATTTGGTCTCCATGAAGATAGAAAGGCTTAATACCACACTGTGAAACATTCCAGACAAAGCAACAACAACTCTGTGGAGAAAAGCATTTGAAGAACCCTCCACCAGAAAAGTTACACAATGCACCTTTAATTTTCATTCAAATTTCATCAAAAGAAATCCTACTGCCCATATTGCAAAACATTTCTTGCACTGGAATTGGCCTGAGCTGTACCCATCCCAAACAACACAGCGCCCTGAACCATAAATCACTCCAGTGTCCGGGTGGCAGAAGTCATGGATCATCCTACAATAGTGTCATTAAAGTCAGATCAATCCAAAAGTGCCACCTCTGCCCCGGCCCCGCTCGGGACGCTCCCACGGTGCGTTCAAGAAGGTGGGAAAAACTTTGACGCACTTTGGTATGTTTGCTAAAGCTACTGCTCATATTTGCACAGAGACACAAAGCCACTCTGGTCTCTCTGGCACCAAATGAAAGACGTTTTTACAGCAAATAGACAAGCTTTTTTACCCACAATCCTCTGCTCTTCTCCAAATGCAACTGGCCAAATTTGAGAAAAATGAGATGCCAGTTGTCATGGTGATTGATCAGAGGAGAGAGGAGGGGAAAGGTTGTTTACTCTGATATAGTTTCCATTTGGGTGCCATGACATAACATTGCGGGATATTGGACGATGTGGGTGAAAAAAACAACAACATGTAAATGTGTGTGAATAAACATTTTATTATAGGATTAAGTAAGTGACTCTGCAGTTTTATCACAATCTTTAGACTGAAAATGAACTCCTTGGGTGCTATTACTTGTACTTGTACTTGTATAACTCTTCTGTTTTTGACTATTAATGTAATACTAAAAATTTAGAATTTTACCATTGATTTTAATGGAAAGAGCTCACTCTATTGGATGTCTTATTATGCAAGGAAATCAGAACAACACTGGAAAAAAATCTGAATTGTGTGTGTGTTCTTAAAAATATCTAGAAAAAAACAAACAAACAAAAAAAAAACAGACGATGCCAAAGTGCCTTTTAGTTACACTTTTATTTAATTATGTCTTAACTTGTATTTAATCTTTTTAAAGGGACTAATTAAGTGACTCCGCAGTTTTATCATAACATTTAGACTGAAAATTTACTCCTTGAGTGCTGTTACATTTTGTATAACTCTTCTGTTTTTGACTATTTATGTAATACTAATATTGTGTGTGTGTTTATGGTTAAAAATAGCTAGAAAAAAGAGAAAAAAAAC